GCGCTTCGCGCCCATCTTCTAAATTAATTGTGAACATGTTCTCTTTGTGTACATCGTAAAACAAAACAAAAATAATTCGCGGATTTTCACAAAAAAATTCGTGGATTTTCAAAATTTTCAAAAATTTAATGAAGATCGAATTTTGATGGAGACAAATATTTGAAATTTTGATCATTCATAAACCTTCCCTGTGGTCACGTGATGTCCCACAAAAAATTTGGGCCCGATCGGTTCAGCCGTTTTGATGTTTATTGGATACAAACAAACAGACAAGCCAAATTTTTTATATAGATAATAAATCTTTAAATATTTTAATAATTTTGTGTTTCTCTATCGTAAGTTCAGCATTTTCAAGCAATGCCCAAATGTTAACAAACTAATTCTTTAAATCTAACCTTTTCTAATATCTGAACATCAAGAGATTTCAATTTCGTGTTTTTTGCTTTATATTTGTTTTTAAATAAAAAAAAGTTGGTCGGCGTTTATACCAATATAATGAAGACAACTTTTCTATTTAAGCTTTGATTTCTAACAAGCTTTTTTCAAATTACAAGTAACAAGTATAAACAAAGACAAGCTGTAAATTGACAGCTTCTTTTTGTTTCCATGTATGTATTTATGCTGCTTAAAAGTTTGGTAGAAATCAAAATTTAAATCGAAAGTCGTCTTCTTTGTTTTGATATACACAACGACAACTGTGTTTATTTCACTTAGTTAAAAAAAACCCTGCTGCATGTTTGATAGATCCTAGTTCTTTCTTCAAATGCAACATAAATTAATTAGAATAAATAAATAGATATATTGATATCATATGGTAAGGATGTTCATTACATATTAATAGCACAATTTTTTCAAGTCAGTTCATTGCACAAAAAAGGCTCCAAAAACCCAAATTACCATTTTGTCTAGGACACACTGTGTATCATACATATTTTATTAAACAGCCGACCGACCCGAGGAGAAAATATTTGCGGCCTTTCAAAATTCTTTTTCCTTTATTGTGTATTTGTAAAGGAAGCGGAGGGATATAAGGAAGTGTAGGGAGGGAATGAGAATACATATTTAATTTAAAAACCACAAGAATGAATAATCAAAAGAAACCTCNGGGGGGGGTGCATAGGTACAAAAAAATCTGGAAGTAGGAACAAATAAGAAGCATTGTTTGACCTGAAAAAACTCAAAAAGGGTCAAAATTAATGACTAAAGACTAAAAATTTAGATTTGTATCTTATCACATATTAAAGTTGATTAAGATAGATGTTTTGCATTATGTGTTTGAGAAACTATTTGCATTAGAAGAAAAAACTGGAGGTATAAGATGTATAGATATAAGTTAATCTATAAATAAATGTATAACTGAAATTTTTTGAATCACGAATGGCCAATACTTATTTTTGATACAGGGGAAGTAAAGGATGTAAATTGTAAATGCATGTAATGATCAAAAACTCAAATCTGAAGTTTTCAAAACATCCTGCAACTTGCAAGCTTGAGGATGAGTACAAACAGCTTCTCCTAAACCTGACCATATTTTATATTTAATTTCAATTTGTCTCTATGTTACTTTTTGCTGTACGATTATTCATTAGAATCATTAATCTAATAAAAGAACCGGGGACAAAAGCTTCTCAAAATACAAAAAAATAATGAAAACCCTTTCATTTCACAAGAGAGGATAGAATAATAAATTCCCAAATAACTTATTTCAGAAAGCACTCAATTTCCCTTTAATTTGAAGAAAAAATAATCCTTCACGCAAAAATAGATTTTATGCCAATTTTATCCCCTTTTTCCTTTTTTCCTTCTTTCTTTCATTTTTCGTTCCCAATTCTTTTTATTTTTCATTTTTTTTCTCAAATATTGAGCTACGGGCCTGCAAAAAATTCTAAAAATAAGAACACAAAATTCTAAAAATAAGAACACAAAATTCTAAAAATAAGAACACGAAATTCTAAAAATAAGAACACAAAATTCTGAAAATAAGAGCACAAATTCTAAAAAAAGAACACAAAATTCTAAAAATAAGAACACAAAATTCTAAAAATAAGAACACAAAATTCTAAAAATAAGAACACAAAATTCTGAAAATATGAACAAAAATCCTGGAAATGGAAAGCTAAAGACTAACAATATTGTTCCTATCTAGCGTGCATATGCATAGTAATGTTCCTTACTCATCGTTAAAAATTTTAAATTTACTTGCATATACCTTTCCTAGTAATTTCTATTTTCTTTTTGTTCTTAACTTGCTTTATGTTCCTATTATTGACTATTGTTCCTAATTCATGTACAGTATGAATGACATTTTTTGTGCACATGCATGTTTTCTTTTTTTCTACCTTTATGTTTTGATCATCATTTCATGTTTTACGAATTCCATTCCCAGTTCTTTCATTTTTGTTCCTAACTTGTAACTTTCTTAATGTTCCTATTTTTGTTCCTATTCCTAACACTCACTGTGTCCTTAGACCCTAAATCTCTGATTTTTGTTCCTAATTTCTGAGCAATCTCCTTAGTGTTCCTTAGATTATGTATTTCATTAATTGTTCTTATGTTCATAGTGCACGTATGAAACTCCTGTTTTTTTTTGCTTATTCCGACTTTCTCAATAGTCAATGTTCCTGTTATAGTTCCCATTTTATCGTTCTTTTGTTCCTCTTTTGATATTCCTAGTGTAGTTCTTCCTTTTTTGTTTCCAACTCACCCAACCCAACATTTGTGTTATTGTATTGTTCCCTTTTTTTCGGGGGGGTTCAAACTCATAAACTACAGATTAAAAAAAAATATTTAAATTCACAATTTAAAATCTCTCCCTCGAACCACCTTAACGATTTCCGATAATATAATATCTTTAAAAAAAAGTTATTTAAACTCTGAATAGTATGCGCAGTGTGTCTGAACTTTAACTTGAAAAACAAGATTTTGACATAAAACATGAAAACATTGTTTCAAGATATTTTTTGGATTTACGAAAATTTGATATTAAGTTTACGGTAAAATTTTTTATTTTTTTTAGAATGGTTACCAAGCACCCCCACCTAAGCTTTCAGTGAGTTCTGCAGTAATGTGCAGTACGCTGACCGAAGACCTAGTATAGGATTTAGTGGAGAGTGCTAGATTCTAAAATTTAAAAATATGATATCGCAAATACGAACATTTAGACGAACAAATTGTTGTGGTTCTCTTTCTCGGGGAGAGAGGAGGGGCAGAGGGGTAGGGGTAAAGGGGGTACGGGAGCTTTATGTGGAAATATTGAAGAAGAATATTTATTGTAGTATATTGTAATGTTGTAAGGTAATAAATTGCAGTATTATTTGCTTTTCTCCCTCACGAAGAGACGGGGGACAAAATGGATAAATTTGTAATAAAAAAAGTTTTTGGGTTGGTCTAAATTTTAGAGAGGGGAAAATAATATTGCCCCCCCCCCCATTAGGGTGAGTCACTGCGTCTTTTATCCCTCCAATATTCTAGGAGCAACCCCACACCCCTGGGAGCAAATCCAAAACCTAAGCTGCAATTCCTCCAAAAACCCTGGAAGCATTTCTAAAACCCTCGGAGCAGCTTTAAACCCCTGGGAACATCACCAAACCCATCGGAGCAACTCCAAACTCTTGGAGGAACTACGAAACCCCAGGTGGGGTGGGGGCAACTCCAAAACCCTGGGAACAACTCCAAAACTCTGAGACCAACTCCAAAACTAGGAGTAACTCCAAAATAATGGAATACCTCCAAAACCCTTTAAGCAACTCAAAAACCCTGGGAGTACTTCCAAAATCCTGAGAATAACTCAAAAACCCTGAGAATAACTCCAAAACCCTGGGAGCAACTGCAAAGCCCTGGGAGTAACTCCAAATACCCCGGGAGTAACTCCAAAGCCCTGGGAGCAACTCAAAAACCTTGGGAGCAACTTTAAAACCCTGGGAGTAGCTCCAAACCCCAGAGAGTAACTCCAAAACCCTGGGAGCAACTCCAAAACCCTGGGAGTAACTCCAAACCCTCGAGAGTAACTTCAAAAACCCTGAGAGCAAATCCAAAACCCTGGTAGTACATCCAAAACCCTGAGAATAACTTCAAAACCCTGAGAGTAACTCCAAAACTCCAAAACCTGGTATTCCAAAACCCTGGTATCCCTCCAAATTGGAGCTTTAAATTCTTTGAAGCAACTCCAAACCAATGGAATCCCTAGAAACTCCTGGACGCAATTCCGAAACCCCATGGGAGCAACTCCAAACCCCTAGAAGCTTCCTTCTCTTTAGCTGAATGAATTTAACAAAGGAACTTAGTTTTTGCCACAAATTCTGATTTTCTAATCCCTATATCTTTGCAACCTGATGTGTAAACCTTCAATATTGCAAACTATCATTACTCGATCTAAAAGAATTCATTCATTCCGACATTGAATTGCAAAGGTGGGATTATAAATCCGGGTTTGTGGCAAAAACTCAGTTCCTTTCAGCAGCTTCAGGAAAATACTTCGTAGTTTATGAAATATAGGACTAAAAATATTTACTCTTAAACCAACCAATCAACCCCCCCCCTCTGGTCATGCGCCACTTTTCTATTATAAACACTAAAGAATTGGTCCTTATCTTTTCCTCACCGTTTTTATTTATTGCTTTTAATTATTGGTTGGTATCCAAGCTATCATGCTTATAGTAGTTTCAATTCTGGTTTGACCAATACACATTTGACTATTAAAAAAGGGGAAAATTAATATGTAGGTATTTGATCAGTTAGATTCATATACTTAGGTTTTAGAATGTGCCACCGATGAAAGATTATTATACTTATTTTCATAATACATCCGTTTATTTGTATACATATATGCTCAGGAAATAGCTTAAAGGGCCTATAAGCGTAATTTCAAGTGATCTATAACCATGATTAGAAAACAATACCTTTAATAGCTTTGCCTGATCAAGTAAAAATTATATATCAATGTTTAGAATTTTGAAAACTGTTCTTTCAATCGTTAATTCTCTGCAAAAAAGTGAGTTGTGCATTTCTACAGCATAAAAGCATATCAGAATTATCAGAATTCAACACTTTTTGTTTGTAGAAAAACTTGAATGTATTCCATGTTATTAACCAGATAAAGGTTTCAAGGGTATCGCTTTGATTTTTGTATGGAAGGTCAATTGAAATTACGCTTACAGTCCCTTTAATCCATGCAAATTACTACTTCAGAGGTAATTACAATATTTTGTCTAAATCCACAAATATCCCTTCAACATAACTTTCTTTTCTTCCTCGTCTTAGAATACCTTCTCCTTTCATCCTGAACATAGTTAGGCTCATGATAATTAGATGGAATGCACAACACTTAAAGTGAAAACCAGAAAACTCAGGGAATAGGAAGACGAATTAAAGCATTTAAATAACTTACTAAATCACTTATTATGAAACGGGCCTTTTAAAAACGCGCAATTGCTGTGTCTCATGTTCATCACTATTTAAAGTCATAATTTAAGTCGTCTTCTCAATCCATAGTTGTCTGGTTCTCACTGTATAAAATTAAAATCTTCATTATCGATTGTTTGATATATATCACACAACTCAGATAAGACAAGTTTTGGAAGGAGAAACTAGCATGCCAATTTTAAAGGGAGTTACCGGCAATGTATGGTAGTTGAACAGAGAATGTAGTATTGTGGAGACATTTTTTAGGGTTCATTTGAGACATTTAAAACGTTTTAATGATGTACAACTACATGGGTTTGAGCGCAAATACAACTTTCAAAATTATACATTTTGGTGGTTACGTTTTGAGAAGCGATTTTTTTAATTATTGAATAACGACAACAAAAATTTTGCAAAAATTCAACAGTAAACTAATTTGCTTTATATTTCCCAAATGAATCCTAAAAAAATTCTCCACAATGCATTCTCAGTTCAACTACCATAAATTGCCGGTCACCCACTTTAAAATCAACTTTTTATTTCTCAAAATTTAAAGAAAGCGATAAACATTTGTTTGTGACTAAAACATGCAGGTTTACAAGTCTGATACAAAACAAGGTAAAATCGAAACAATTAATTGTAACATTTCGGTCCATTTACAAGATTTTGAAAACCCCTGTAATTACGGAAAACATTTTCTTATGATTTTAATAAGGCATAAAAACGCATTATGATCACTTATATTACATATTGATTAAAAAATTCATAGGAAAAATTCCTTTAATGTTAAACTTTTAAAGTATACAATATTACCAGCTGCATTTTTGTTAATTAATACCTGAGAGCGTAGGGAACAAATTTTTTAGTTTTCTTGCATCTTTTAGTGTAGACAAGCAGGACTAATAATATAATTAGAAATCCTAGAACTGATATTGTATAATTCACGAGAGGTGTTTCCAACATGATTTTTTTTATTAACTATTCAGTTGGCATGCAAGTTTACAAATATTCTGACTAAACATATATCAGCTGTTACATAACAAGTGTTTTCGTTTGTGTAAAAATGACAAATTTTTAGAATATTTAAAATTTTTGTATTGATTTCATAGTGAACTAAAATGTGGACGCTTTGCACGTAAAATTGCATCAGCTAGGATTTTGCACGTAAAATTGAATCCGCTAGGATTTTGCGCATACAATTGTATCAGCTAGGATTTTGCGCATAAAATTGTATCAGCTAGGATTTGCACATAAAATTGTATCAGCTAGGATTTTGCACGTAAAATTGTATCAGCTAGGATTTTCCACGTAAAATTGTATCAGCTAGGATTTTGCACGTAAAATTGAATCCGCTAGGATTTTGCGCATAAAATTGTGTCAGCTAGGATTTTGCGCATAAAATTGTGTCAGCTAGGATTTTGCACATAAAATTGTATCAGCTAGGATTTTGCGCATAAAATTGTATCAGCTAGGATTTTGCACGTAAAATTGCATCAGCTAGGATTTTGCACGTAAAATTGAACCCGCTAGGATTTTGCACGTAAAATTGTATCCGCTAGGATTTTCCACGTAAAATTGTATCAGCTAGGATTTTGCACGTAAAATTGTATCAGCTAGGATTTTGCACGTAAAATTGTATCAGCTAGGATTTTGCAATTAATGGTATCAGCTAGGATTTTGCAAGTAAAATGGTATCCGCTAGAATTTTGCACGTAAAATTGAATCCGCTAGAATTTTGCGCATAAAATTGTATCAGCTAGGATTTTGCAATTAATGATATCAGCTAGGATTTTGCAAGTAAAATTGAATCAGCTAGGAATTTGCACGTAAAATGGTATCAGCTAGGATTTTGCAAGTAAAATTGTATCAGCTAGGATTTTGCACGTAAAATGGTATCAGCTAGGATTTTGCAATTAAATGGTATCAGCTAGGATTTTGCACGTAAAATGGTATCAGCTAGGATTTTGCAATTAAATGGTATCAGCTAGAATTTTGAAAATAAAATTGTATCAGCTAGGATTTTGCACGTAAAATTGTATCAGCTAGGATTTTGCACGTAAAATTGTATCAGCTAGGATTTTGCAAGTAAAATGGTATCCGCTAGGATTTTGCACGTAAAATTGTATCCGCTAGGATTTTGAAAACTATCACATATACTCTATGTCACATTTCTAAGGCTATGCTTTCTCTTACAAAAAAAAATAAAAATTGGAATTTTTTCCCATAACAATGCTTTCAGTTTGGTTATAATTGCGGCTTAGACATCATTTATCCATGAGTAGATATATGACGTAATTATAATTACAGTGATTAAATTGTGCTTAAGAATAAGTCATTGGCAAAACTATGATTCAAATGCGACATTGACTAAGTGGATAAAGCTATAACTTAACAATATGACGAGACAAAACTGTGACTTAGAGTTGTATCTTAGACTTAGAATTATGACTTGTATCTTATCGTATTTTAGACAAAATTATCCCAAACAAAGATGACTAAGATATAATTATGACTTATGTCTTATCGTATTTTAGACAAAAATATCCCAAACAAATATGACTAGGATATAATTATGACTTAGATGTGGCTCAGAAATATAGTTATCATAATTCATTTTTTTGCTACAACAAACTTAAAAACTTTATTGAGGTATTTTTCTCGTTATGATACAGGTGATATTTATAAAATTAGATATTTATTCGGTAAATTAATATTGATTTTGGTCCGGTGTTTTAACTATTCTTTGAAAGAGGGAAAGAAGCTAATTACGTTTTTTTATTTTGTTAGTCCTTTATGTAAATTCACTCCTGTATGCCGAGTTCATTAGCGCCTGATCCAGTCATGTGTTTGTTGTCTATTCTGAACCAATAGAAATAGTATGGCAGTATAACATCTATCTTTCTATCTATCTCATTATTCAATTAGAGATATGAATCCTTCAATCGGTGCTATCAGTAAATGGAATTATTTACTTCTACTGAAACTATATTGAATTATGACCTAGATGACAGAAGCCACGTAGTTTTCAAGAGATGATGTTTTTTTCCCATTGAAGAAGTTTTTATTGAGATGTAAGACTAAGAGCAGTAAATAAAAAGTTTTTTTTTTAAGAAACTTTTTTTAATTATAGTAGATTTCCAAAAACTCTTATGCTCTAAATAGATATGAAAAACATGGCGTGGTTTAGAAAAGTAACTAAAAATATAGTCTAAAAAGGTTTTAATAAGTCTTTCTTTCGCATTTTTTTCTACGCATACATTTCGAGAAGAAAATCCGGTTACATATTAGAAATTTAAAACGTTTATGTTCTTCTCAATACCTCTTCGATAAGTCGGGGTTTGATTGAAAACATAGAAAAAATCAATCTTACGTCTAATAAACTTTAGTTTGACGTAATACAGTCCTAACTGATGTTTCGCTGGGCACAGAAATTGTTGTTTTTACACAAAATACTGGTTTAATAATTCATTCATTTGCATCCAGGATGTCCCACGAAACATGACAGTTGGTGAATAGTTTTCAATGTATTCTTCCATGATACTGAATTAGTTATTTTAGACATTTTGCAGTTTATTTCATTAAACAAATCTTTTGCTCAAATATGTATTTGTATGAAATCAATTTTACTATAGTATTACTGCCCTTTAGTTTTTCTTATCATCATCTTTGGTATCAAACAGCTTTACAAATTATGGAAGAAGACATTTTAGACTTAATTAACCAACTGTCATGTTTCGTGGGACACCCTCTATGTACGCTGTTTATTGATATTTTAGTACGTTTACGTCGTAATATAATTACATTTTTCTGTGACTTTTTACTTGGTTTCAGAATATACGCAGTTTTTGATACGCTTTAAAATTAACAATTTTCGTGATTCCATATTAATTAAATTGAAAAAATCAGTTGAAAAGTGTATAAAAGTAAATCCAAGTTAAAATTAGCTTTCCTTATCCTTAGATACCATGGGGTAGGGTAGAAAGTAGAGACACGCACCCAGGATTTCATAGTTTCAACACACACACAACATTCATCACACGTACAACAATCATCACACGCACAACAATCATTTAATTTATTTTCATAAGATTTATCACAAAGCAAGCATTCAATACATATTACATATATTAAAACAATACAATACAATTCATTAAAGTCATTAAACACATTTCATGGAAATTAATACTATCAAATTGTTTCCATTTACTGATGCGAAACTTTTTTATGACAGAAGTTTATATTATTTTTATATTATTATATTATATATATATATATATATATATACATAAATAATGAATCTATATTTGTTTGTTTGCTTGTATGTCCGATCATAACTAATGATCTACGTGACTGATTTGCCTCAAATTTTATTTTGGAATTAGGCAAAACCACGGTGTGTTTAGCTGGTTAAAAATCTAAAATAAGGGTGTTGACTTTTAAGGGAAAGTGTTTAGTTTCCAGTGAAAGCTGGGTTTCCTATCTAGACTTTAATAAAGTACATAATATTATTGATTTAGAAGAGTCTGGGATTAATATATCTCTATAGTTTCAGAGGAATTAAAGTTTAATGATGAGAGAAGTGATCTCTATTCATATCGGACAGGCTGGTGTTCAAATGGGGAATGCTTGTTGGTAAAATTAACATTTTCACACTACTACTGTGTTGTATAATTCAGAGTGAAGCGAGTACAGAGCTCTATTAAAGGCTAGAATATGCGATATTTTTCATAAAAGGTTCCATTGTTTACAACTGGAGTACGCGACCAATAAACAGATGTCTGTATTCAAAGAATTTTAAGGATCCTTTGAATACGAAATACAAAAGTAGACAAAATCCATAAATTTGATGTTTTATGATTTATTTCTTTAAAAATTGTAAAACTTAATGGGTATTATATGCAACTAGTGGCAGTAAGATGGTAGTCAAAAACCTTTCGTGGAAATATATCAGGTCGTGCCGGTACAACATATGTATATTTAGCGTAGCCCGTTACAGTCTGTGGTATATCTAGTATGTGTTATATCTAATCTGCAGTTAATCTATGGTATATCTAGTCTGTGGTATAATTTGAGCTGAAAACTCTTGTGCTTGAAACTCATAAACTCAATCGCTTGATCTCGATATCCACTGTGGACAATGACATGCTTTTGATTTGAGGATCAAGCTTAATATTTGTATTTCATTTATTTTACTCCCCTAATCGAAGCTGACTGGGATAACAAATAAATTTCAAATTAATCTTCAGATTAACATAAGACGGTAAGATCGAGATCATTGATTTCAATATCCACAAAACAAGAGTTCCAACCTCAGTCAACATTTTTGCTTTTGCTCCATGAGAAATACAAAGGCCATAGCAGTGAAACACATTCAATTTCCCAAGGTTATTATGCACGGAAAGTTATTTTAGAGGTGTATGCATCTGTTGTACTGCATTGTACTGTCTCTGGGTGGTAATGTAAACACAAGACGGATGTCGAAGCCTGACATGAAATCAATGAAATATTCTGGTCATAGGAAAATATTATGTGATTTATCAAAATTATCAAAATTTAACGTTTTTAACCTCCTCGGATACCAAACGAACACTGATACATCTATTCTTGTTTACAAATTCCGCCCAGAGAGAACTGGTTTCAATATGTGCGCAAAGTATACGCAGCTGCAATTAACTTTCCTTGCATTATAACCTTGCACTTTCCAATGAAACCCACTATTTAATCGGTCAGGGTACTTCAGATCACTGCAGTACGCACCGAAAGCTTAGTTTAGGGTGATATGTATTGTTATAAAGTAAAGAATAAAGGTAATATAATTTAGGTAATCTTTGCATTTTCTTGAATAACACCTCACGACGATTCAGTTCAAATTATTAGTTTTTAATATATTGATTTCAACTAGCTATAGAAACACATGAGCATTAGGCATATATTATTCAACTCTTATTAATATTTAATCACATTAAAGCTGAGTGTTTCGTGCAACGGAAAACCCAAACTATAAACATTGAACATAAGCGCGACCAAGACTGGGATTTATTGAAAGAATTATTTTAAAGCTTTTATTTATAATTGTTTAAAACTTCCGGTAAATATATTAATGAAATTGGGTGCGTACTGCGTACTATATTCAACTACATTAGAATTTATAGTGGTCAGAATCTGAATTATTTTTTGTAAAATTTAGATGATCAAGGACCGTATTTAACGAATTTGAGATACGTCGCTGAACTACATACTGCCGGTTCAAACTTGAACCACCGATTCAAAGTTTAAGATTAAGGAAGGATTTGATCCGGTGATTTAAATTTGAAATGGCGGTAGTCAGTCAAAATTAATTACATTTTGTATCATTTGTAAATATTCCAGAAGGATAAGAGTTTTAACTATGACATTCCTCTAGCTCCTAGAATTAGGCGTTATTAACAAGTTTCTCAGTATAACACACTTTATAAGATAAAAGAAAATTATTGTCGATCGATTCCAGGCTCAACTTCATCTAAGGTCTGAATCTTCATGTTTTCCTACACTAGGGAATTGTACTGCCTGGAGCATGGAATTCACCCTGATGGTTCTCTACCTGAGGATGATTCTGTGGGTATTGCAGACGACAGCTTTAATACATTCTTCAGTGAGACAGGTAGACTAAATATTATGGGGTTTTACATTAGATAAAGAAACCGGAAATTGTTGAACAGAATGGATTAAATTGGCGGCATTGTTTGAAGGACTAAAAGTGTAATTTCAAGCGAACCTCCATGCATTGATGGTAATGCCCGATTTACAACCCTAATCTGAAGAATAATATAGAAGATAAATACGTTTTAGCAAGCTTGATAAATGTTTAATTTCTATGATAATTTCTATATGTTTATTGCTTATCTGCAGAAACCACTATTGTAGAGAAAATTCAATTGAAAGATATCCGTTTTCCAATTTTCAAACATGTAAATCTAATTCATACTTGATCATACAAAGATTTGGAAGGTACCGTCGGGAATTGGAAGTTGCCCTCTTTACATGGTCTTGACATTACGATTAGATTCCCGTTCAGGTTGATATCTCTGAAATTTCTTCTAAATTTTACTAATGTTTAGGATCTGGTAAACATGTACCCAGGGCTGTTTTTGTAGATTTGGAACCTTCGGTCATTGACGAGGTAACAAATCTTAAAAATCTTGACAAAATTAATTTTAAAGTTGTTGAATATTTTGTCACATGTCGACCTTCTAGTAGTTAAATATCGACTCGCTATAAGACATCACTTATGCGTGACGAAAGCTCAGGTTACGTTGCGAAAAATTGCTTCCATTTCATCCCGAATTATCACGGAATTCAAAAAATAAAATTTGCCGGAAGACGGGTGACTCTAATAATAATGATACCACTGATTTCATCGATAATTTCTTTTTAAAAATATGTTTTTAGAAAGATTATTTTTACATTTTTATTCAGGTTTTTAAACAATTTTTAAAAATAGATTCTTGAGAGAAAGCTTTAGATTGGACCATCCTCGAGATTTAGAAAGCGAATTTGCGCTCTTACTCAGCAATTATTTACAGTAAAACGTTTTGTTGATATCGAAAGAATTCTAAAATAGCTCTTTATTAAACTTTACTCTCAGTTCAACTACCATACCTTAACAGTCACTCCCTTAAAAAATGTACATTCTTCTAAATCTTTTCTAATTTTCTCTAACTCAGGTGAGAACAGGAACTTACAGGGCGTTGTTCCATCCCTCTCAGTTAATCACAGGCAACCTGTTAAAATGATATTTTATCTAAAATGTACAGTGAGAACCAGAAAACTGTGGATCAGGAAGTTCGACAATATGGCAATACTTACATGCATTTTATGTCATTAACAAGCAAATAGTGCTACTAGTAACTTATTAAATCTCTTATTATACGTTTAATGGGCATGTTAACACTGCAAAATTGGTGTGTCTTTAATTAACTGGATTATCTAAAGTCAAAAAGTCTTCTTCCTATTTCAGAGTATTCTGCTCTCACTGTATTACAACGAGAACAATATTACTGTGTCACATGAGTTTGATTAAAACCCTGAACAACATAATGGGATTATTTCACTGTATCTATTTAAACAACTTCCTTGTGTTGTCAATTTCATGTGGAACATTAATGTTTGTTTATGCCAGGATATTTACTTTTTTGTTTGTTACAATTCCGTAAAAACAAAAGATTAAATTTACCGTATATCCTTAACACAACCTACAATAAACCTTCCAAATAAAAATATTGGATACGGAGTTGCCAACAAAAAAAGAAAAATAGAAATATAAATATAAAAAATCCCGTTTTTAGGGAAGGAGGACGCAGCTAACAACTATGCAAGGGGTCACTATACGATCGGTAAGTGAAAATGTCGACTATAGATAGATAGTGATTTATATTCAGTTGGGTCGGTTTTTAGTAGTTTTTTTGCATATGATTTCTTTCAAGGCCAAAACTTGGCATAAGCAACGCAAACTTGAATTATTTTCTTCAGCTTTGGGATTTAGTTCGAATAAGTATTTTTTAACATTTATTGTATCCAATATCCATCATAGTCGGGATAAGCATCATTCTAAAAACATTGTTCTGATTTAACCTAAAATGACTGTTAAGTTTGAAACAAAAACAAAAAACAGAGAAAAAAGTATTTTGTTTAAAACCGATTTTTCCCCGTTTCAAAACAAAAACGAAACGAAAATTAGAGACACATAGAGAGGTTATCTCAAAAAAGGTAGCAAAGTTTTATAAAAAATAAAAAAAATAATATTGATAATAATGAGCTCATCAAAAATCAAGGTCCTCAAACCATAGGACGAGTTTAAAATCGTCACTTACCTTTTTGTAGGAAAAGAGCAGATTGAAGTTACGATTGATCGAATCCGACGATTAGCAGATCAGTGTAAAGGATTACAGGTGATCATAGGAAACAATTTAATTGGAATTATAACATTTGTTTTAAACACCAGACTACAAATATAGCATTTAACTATCAATAACAAGAGTATTTATTTTCCTGGTATTTTTGAATTAATTATGATTTTTTTATAGATTAGAAAACACATTCGATCATTAATTGCATACTTGACCTTAACTTTTGGGTTGCATTAGGTATAACCATTGCAATTTAGAATGAATTTATTACTTCATCCAAAATTTAACCAACTTATGTTTGGCATTGGTTAAGCGACAAATATCTAAAAAATCTATAAATTCTTCTTTTGTTGCAGGGGTTTCTTGTATTTAACTCCATCGGAGGAGGAACGGGATCAGGGTTTGGATCTCTTCTCATGGAACGATTAGCAGGGAACACAGTTTTCCTTTAAGAAAACGTCTGTCAGTTCAAACTTGTGAGTTCTTGCCACAAATTCAAATGTTCTATTCCTTATTCTGTTGCAACCTGATAATGTAAACTTTTCAATCTTAAATTTCATTATTGAACAGAAGTTATAGTTTGAAATTTTTAAAGGTCTACGATATCGGGTTGCAAAGATAGGGATATAAAATCAGAGTTTGTGGTAACAACTGAGTTCCTTTATTATCACTAGCTCAAAAATTCAACTTATGGCAGCTAAAATTGTTTTCTCCGAACTTCAACCTTTTATTCTGAAACCATACTTTTAAATACCTCCTTCTATAAGAGTTTCTAGTTTCTCTAGATAGATTTTATCGGATTAATTATCATAAAAAACGTGAAAAAACGTGTGCTAAAACGTGTGCTAAAACGTGTGCTGGTGTTCAGTTGAATATGGAAAGAAGTCTAAGCTAGGTTTCCATATTTATCCTGCTCCCCAGGTAGCTACTGCTATTGTAGAACCCTACAATGCAGTACTGTACACGCATACCGCTCTAGAACACTCAGACTGCTCTTTCCTTGTAGATAATCAGGCAAGTGAAAAGTATACATTGCGAACCAGAAAACTCTGGAATAGAAAGACGACTTTTGGACTCAAGTTATGACTTTAAATAGTACAATAAACATGAGCCATATCAACATCATCATCAACATAAACATGCATTGATTCAAAAATAACACAATTGATATTTGTGTTGGTCAAAACTCAATATTGACAAGACGGGATATGTAAAAGTTAATGAAAATTATGTCATAGGAACATGGCGCTTGGATAAAGGAATTGTTTTGAAAATTGAATAAATTGATAAATACCGATTAATAAAATAAGGAATATTCTGTTATGAATATATTACTATCTATCTTTGATTTTTGAGTCACAATTAGACTAAATACATTTTATGATGACATATTTGTAATTTAATGATACGGACAACATATCTTTAATAGCTGTCGCATATTTTAGGCTATATACGATATATGCCGAGATAACATAGGAATTACTAGACCAACATATACAAACCTAAATAGATTAATTGCTCAGATCATCTCATCTATCACTGCATCTCTCAGGTGATTTTAAAAGGTTTTTTTTTTGATATTTTTAACGCATTTGAAGTCATTATTTTAATGTTTCATCTTTTTTTAAATAAACACTTTTTTCAGGTTTGACGGTGCATTGAACGTGGACTTGAACGAGTTTCAAACGAATCTTGTTCCCTATCCAAGGAATATTTATATTAAAAAAATCCACTTAGATAATTGTTTAAACCATTTTGTACACGGTACCTCAAGTACATTGTATGTAAGATTGAAGTCTGCATGTTTTCAATCCTGACTCCATTAATTGAAGAGATTGCGAGAAGAACATAAATGTTTTGAATTTCTAATATGTAGGAAATTAAACTCTGATTTTCTAATCCCTATGTCTTTAACACCTAATGTTGTAGACCTTTCTTATTTCAAAATGTGAATCTGTTAGTCCAAATGATATAAGTTTGAAATATGGAAGGTTTATGCCTTAGAAAAATTCAAGTTTGTGACAAAAACTCAATTCCTTTTCTATTCTCATATTTATGCGTAAAATCAAGACTAGAGGAGCTATCAGGTCACAAAGCTTCCCCAGTAACGTCGCATAGGGTTTAGGGTTTCCATCGAAATTATCGTTGAACGAAATTTTCGACCTCATTTTCGCGAAAGTTTCGAAAAAATTTCGAACGAGTTTCGCGAAAGTTTCGAAAATTTTCGTTTTCGTTCACATTTTCGTTGGCTGAACGTAATTTTCGCGAAATTGATTGATCGAAAATTTGGAAACCCTATTTCTATTCAGTTTACAGAGTGTTATATTAAATATGATTTTGATGAATTAAATATTTTAGAATTCATTATCCATTGGCTACCTACGCACCACTAGGAAACAAATTATTATCAGAATAAACAAAATATCATACGTATTTGTAACATTGGGGATTTTCTAGGATACAAGATCCCCCCCCCCTCTCTTTTTAAAAGGTTTTAGTTGTATACCATTTCTCCCATTTGGAAAACAAGACGTAAGATATGAATACATCATAAGATAATGCAATTTTTATATTAAAAATAATAAGCGTCAAGGGTTCTGAAAATAATAAGCGCCAAGGGTTCTGAAAATAATAAGCGCCAAGGGTTCTGAAAATAATAAGCGCCAAGGGTTCTGAAAATAATAAGCGCCAAGGGTTCTAAAAATAATAAGCGCCAAGGGTTCTAAAAATAATAAGCGCCAAGGGTTCTAAAAATAATAAGCGCCAAGGGTTCTAAAAATAATAAGCGCCAAGGGTTCTAAAAATAATAAGCGCCAAGGGTTCTAAAAATAATAAGCGCCAAGGGTTCTAAAAATAATAAGCGCCAAGGGTTCTGAAAATAATAAGCGCCAATGGTTCTGAAAATAATAAGCGCCAAGCTAGGGGTTCTAAAAATAACCCTGTGACAACTACCAACACGCAGCCAAAATTGTTCATTTATATTTACAAAAAAAAATTTTTTAAATTTTTTCTTCAAAAAAAAGGGTCGCGCAAGCTTTGTTAAAAGTCATTAATCACTAAGGGAGGTCGATTTTTCAATTTTTTCGAAACATGTCGATATGGGTATCTACTGTCTAGGGTATCTAAAGTAGCGCCTCTAATCACTGAATATTGCTCAGTAAATTTTGACAATTGTTTGATCTATAGCCAAAAAACTAATTTTTCGAATGACTCTGACAAATTTCCATTAAAAAATACGTTTTTTCAAGTGTTTTTAAACGAATCTTTTGTTATTAAAAAATGAATATTTTCGCTTGCATTAGTGAATTAATATTTACAAAAACTTGTTGCACGGCATAAATTTGAAAGCAAGACATTTTTTTTCATTTTTGTTTTCAACTATAATTTTTAAATTGATTTTTTCTTGTTTTGATATTTGTATTTTCAACCAAAATTTAAAAATAGTCAAAAAAAGTTAATTCTGATGAATTATACGTTTGTTTTACAGTTTCTGCAGAAAAAGCCTTCCATGAGAGCATGGATGTTGCTCAAATTACAAAGAAAGAACATAATATTTAAGAATTTTTCAAGGACAGCTCATTCAATTCGCATCTTTCTTCCAATCTTTATTTTGGTGTTTTACTAAGTATCCCTGCTATTCAATAAATTAAAAATGTACATATTTCATATATTTTGGTATCAACGTTATTATAAGTCATCATCTGCAGAATTACTTTCAATACATACAGCTAGGGACTTTAAGCGTCATTTTAAGTGACCTTCCATGCAAAAAGTGTTTATTTTTGACAATTACTTCATTGCTTTTTTAAGCAAGGAATGTGCAAGTCCCTTTTGAAGAAAATCGGCAAATGAAATAAATAGTTTTAAGAAACCAAAACATGAATATCTAATTCAGACTTGATCAGACAAAGCTTTTAAGAGTAGGGTTTTAAATCTGGGATATGTCATCTTTGCATGAAGGATCACTTGAAATTATGTTTACAGTCCCTTTAATCCTTTAATACCTTGCTTTATATATCTATCTTCTTAAACAACATTATGTTCTTGTTAGGGTTTGCTTTGAACCAAACAATCAGATGGTTAAATGTGATCCTAGGAAAGGTAAAAAGAATAAAATAACATATGTGATTTCCTTTTTCATAAAAAATAGATTATTTTTTTCTATCAAGAAATCTTTAAAAATTCATATAAATTCAAAGAGTTCTAACTATGTAATATATATCAATAAATATTAAAAATTCAAATACTTTGAAGTTTCTATGCAGCTGAAGGGGNGTCCCCCGCATATGGACCAGATTTTAGAGACGATTGTAAGAAAAATGATGTTAGGTATTTTTCCACGAGGCAACTTCTCAAGGGTCTCTCTCTTTTTCGCCCCTCCCTAGCCGCAGAGCACATTTGGGAAGTTGTCACTTGGGAAGTCGCCTGTGGGAAAAAAAACCCTCCACCTTCTTCACGGATATTAATGAATGAATGGCTTCATAGCTTTATTAGCGGTTAATTTAAATCTTATTCTCTTATTTTCAAAAACTGAATATATTTAACTTCATCATAGCAACCCATTGTGTTAATACAATGAAACTTTCATTTAAAGATATAGCAAAACTTGCTCCAGCTTTTTTCAATAATTCCAAATGTACTTTAGGGAAGTACATGGCGGTTTGCTTGTTGTATAGAGGAGATGTTGTACCCAAGGTTAGTACAACTGTACAAAGTCTGCTCACAACTAGAACTTTTGATTTTATCTATACGACGTTTATTTGATTCTTTTTACCCTATATATAGATATATAGATATATAGATATATAGATATATATATATACTATTGATTCAATAGTTGCAGTTGCTGCAGAATCCTTTAAAACTTATCATATTTGACGTGAAAACAGCTATCAATTCTGTTTAAGGATTTATGTTTATTTAGGACGTGAATGCAGCAATCAATGCCGTAAAACAATCTAAGACGATTGAGTTTGTGGAATGGTGTCCCACAGGGTTCAAGGTAGAATAATTACTTAATTGTTAATTATAAGATTAATTTAGGCTTATGCAAATACAGGACCTTTCTTTTACATATTAAGAATTGCTAACCTCTATGGTGCCATGTTTGCATATTCAAAATAAACTGAATACGTTGGAATAGTTTGATTTAATCGCCTTCAAAGGGACTGTTAGCGTAGTATAAAGTCACCCTCCATTCAGATAGGACATTGACCGATTAATAACAGTCCCCGTAAAACCGCTGTGTGTTCGTCGATTATAGAGATATGGGTGTGTAAACTTATCGAACCCAACTTGTATTTAGCTGCAAATTCCGTGTACACCACGAACTTAACACAGCGCACACCAGAATTTGAAGCTGAATACAAGTGTGTTATGATAAGTTTACACACACATATCTCTGTACTCGACGAACATTCGAAGCATTTATGTTAAGTATTTTAACACAAGATTATCTAAGTAATAAAATGTGTTGTTCAGGTTGGAATTAACTACCAGCCTCCGACAGTAGTACCTGGAGGAGATCTAGGAAAAACACCTCGAGCAGTTTGTTGTTTATCTAACACAACAGCAATCATGGAAGCCTGGGCTAGACTAGATCATAAGTTTGATATAATGTATGCAAAGAGAGCTTTCGTTCATTGGTAAGGATGATACATTGTCACAATATTTAATTAGAATATATTACGCATTTTTTGTTTCTTTACTTAGAAGAGGATTTCTATATCATATATTTCGAACCAGAAAATTGTGGAATAGGAAGGCGTCATTATTGTAATATTTGATGTTTTTACAAAGCATGTAGTTTTACTATAGTAACTTACTATATCAGTTATCAAATTAAAAATGGTATGTTACCACAGCACAATTTCTGTGTCTCATGTACATATAACTCAAGTCTGGAATAAGAATACGACTTATCAAGTTTTCAGATTCTCACTGTAAAGAGTATTCGAATAACTGAGAGAAAGGCTTTACGAGGCTAGCTACATTGCCGGTTTTTTCCAGTTTTCACTAACTAAATATACTTTAATTGATAGAAGTATATATCTTTATATGTTTAGACAACTGTGGCCTTTGAAATATTTTTGACCTCTTCTCTTCAGAGTATAGAGAAAAGGATCTTTTATTTTGGAATAAGAATATCATAAATATTTGAAATACTATTTAGGTATGTCGGGGAGGGTATGGAGGAAGGAGAGTTTAGTGAAGCAAGAGAGGATCTTGCTGCTCTGGAACTGGATTATCAAGAGGTAGGATCACATAGTAAAGGGACTGTTAGCGTAATTTCAAGTGACTCTCAATGCAAAGATGGCAAAACTAGATTCACAATGGTACCCTTAAACTCTTTATCTCATCAGAAAAGTGGAAGATATTGTCGTTTTTCTAGATTTAAATTAGACAATTTATATAATAATAGACGTTTCCTCTGGCCGGCCAAACGGCTGGACCGAATGGACTGACATTTTTTTGAGACACTCATGGGTAGCCTGGGTATAGGCTAAAAAAGTCGATTTTTTTCAAAATATTTTTTACCGGGCAACGCCGAGCCCTTCAGCTGGTAATCAATAATTTCCATATGTTCTTCTGCTGTATAGAATTGCGTATTTCACTTTTGTTCGTACTTGATATGACAAAGCTTTTAAGAGCACCGTTGTGAATCGGACATTGCCATGTTTATATGGAGGGTTACTTAAAATTGCGTTCTTAGTCCCTTTCAGAGTAAGAGAAGGATCAGTGATATATGCGTCAAGGACGGATCATACATAGATCGGATTTAGAATTATATGATAAAGGCGTAGTAGGATCTGGATAATAAAAACATGGAAAATGTAGAGTCAGATTAATTAAATGGGCTAAAGGTAGGATTTGATGAATGTCAACAAGTATTCAAACTAAGCATGGGCAATCGAACGCAGGCGCGTAGTGGAGATTTAGCTTATGGGGGTGCACTTTTGACGCGCGTAAGCGCGCCAAAAATGTTTTTAGTGCACTCCTCGAAAAAACCGGTAATAAGAAAAAATTAAAATCTATATTAATCTACCTGAAGGCTGACTATTAGTCATCTGACCATAATTACCAATAATTTTAAATGAAACCCCACGAAAAAATATTGTAAATAAGATTAAAATACAAGAAAGAATTTAAGAATTCATCATCAAATGGACAAACTTTGACATTTTCGATTGTAAGAAAAGTAAAAAATCTGAATATATATGTAAGTTAACTGTTAAATAAATTAGAGCCTGCCTCTGGCTCTAGGGGGGGGGGGGCCTAGGGGGTGCATGTCTAGGGGGATCACAGGGGTCCCGCCCCCCCCCCCTCCACTACGCGCCTTCGAGTCCGAACGTACTTTAATTCAATCTTGACCACACAATAGGATCCCTTAAAGACGGTTAGGAAAGAATCAACATCTAATGGACCATGTAGTAAAGATTAATGTTCGGCATCTGATTTTTTTTACAGAGAACGTTAACATCGATTGGGTTTGCGTACCGTCTTTAAACATGTACAAGTTAAAAAAAAAAAAAAAATGAAAGCTATGCACGCCTAAATACATCACTTATGAAAATACATGTGTCTAAATATAGGGTGTCAGGGTGGGATCAAATTGTGCCGATAAACATCTGTTTTTACAATTACCGGGGCTTTTGTAATAAATTCTTGACACCACAGAGGGTAGAGACTTAAACTCTTTACATACGCTCATCGACCCATGATGCGCGTTGGGGAAATTACTAGCAAAACTTTCCATCAAAAAATCATGGAAACAAAATTTCTATTAATTATCATACAAGACAGTATTTTTTAGGTTGGCTCTGAAAACTACAGCGATTATGATGATGATGATAAATAAACACAATTTTACTCATGGTTTCAAAAGCGTTATTTAACAGTTTTAATTACATAACCTAGTACTTCAAAAAAAATTATAATATGCTCCAGGACCAAATAAAACCTTGGGCAAAATTCAATTTGTTAGACTAATTGATTGGAGATTTCGACTTTTCAAAGATTTAACTTTAACTTCTATTTGATTATTTAAAAATTTGATTCTTCTTATCAAATTTCCTTTTCGATCTAATTTTTTCAGTTTTTAACTACAGTGTCCCATGAAACTTGACAGTAGGAAGACGACGCATGAAGGTCGTCTTTGATCTTTGAAATAATTAGCGATATTTAAACGTAAACCTAATTTTGGTTTTATTAATAAATTGAAATCTAAAGGAAGTTCTTAATATTACCTGGTGATATTATGAGCACATAAATGGCGCACCAAATTATGGAAATACCAGGACTAGGATTATTTTGGGATTATTGCCTTCTAGAATTTTTATTCTAAAATAAAGTTGAGGAAAAAATGCCGATATTTTTTTTCGAAAATTAAAGTGAACCTTCAAGTCGTCTTGCAACCGTCAAGTTTTGTAACAAACCCTTTCTCTTTTGCTTTTTAATTATATAAAACTGGTCGAATATTGTAGATTGTGCAGACCAGGTTTGTTTCATCAGTTGTATACTTTACTTTTTATGCTCACAGTTTGAACTTCGAACATTTACGCAAAATAAATAGTTAGTAAAACTGTTGTTGTGGCCAGGAGTAGACGACTGTAAGCATAATTTTATGTGACGCTGCAAGTAAAGATGTCAAAACCCGACTCACAACAGCCTGTCCTTGACACCTTATTCTGTTCAATTATCTGGAAGATTATGAACATTAATAATCATTCATTACCAGACAAAGCATTTATTGGAACCAATTTGAATCGGACATTGTCATCATTGCATAGAGGGTCACTTGGAATTACGCTTACAATCCCTTTGAACGTCGGATTTTTGTGCGAACAGGTTGCCAGAAACTGAAGATTAAGATTTTACAGACATGTTCAGTCTTATAAACAGATTTATTAAAATTCACTTTTAACAAACATCTTGTGACGGGGTGACATCTCTAAAAACTAAATGATAAATAAATTTTACATACATTGTACATTTCAATTTTCTGGGAAAATTTTCAGGAAAAACAATGAAAAATTTGAAGGTTGGAGGGGGGGGTGAATATTCATATAAACTATCAACTCTATCGTACAAGATCTAAGTGAGGGTCGAGGTACTACAATCAAATACTACAGGACTTCCCAATAAACATGGAAATTAAAAGACGACTTAAAAATCGTATTTTATTTCCGATAATTAATGAATGTCAGAGTGTATTAAAGTGTAGTGTTCTTTCTTAATGTCCTTAAAGTTGACGGAATTATTAAACATTTGAACAACCTTGTATTATTCAATGAAATGGATGTTTATCAATTTTAAAGTTGCAAAAACCTGAGGTAATCAAGACACCTTGTACTACCTAAACATGAGGTACTCAGACACCTTGTACTACATGAACCTGAGGTACTCAGAAACATTACACTACATGGACCTGAGGTACTCAGACACCTTGTACTACATGAACCTGAGGTACTCAGACACATTGTACTACATGAACCTGAGGTACTCAAAAACATTACATTACATGGACCTGAGGTACTCAGACACCTTATACGTCATGAACCTGAGGTAATAAGACAACTTGTACTACGGGAACCTGAGGTACTCAGACACCTTGTACTACATAAACCTGAAGCACTCAAGACACCTTGTACTACATGAACTTGAGGTACTCAGACACCTTGTACTTCATGAACCTGAGGTACTCAGACACATTGTGCTACATGAACCTGAGGTACTCAGGCACCTTGTATTACATGAACCTTAGGTACTCAGGTACCTTGCACTACATGAACCTAAAGCACATTTTACTACATTAACCTGAGGTTCTGAAACACCTTGTACTAGATGAACCTGAGGTACTCGGATACCTTGTACTATACGAACCTGAAGCACTCGGACACATTGTACTACATGAACCTGAGGTACTCAGACACCTTTTCCGTCATGAACCAGATGAACTTAGAACCCTTTTTACATTAATTTGAGGTACTTAGGCAGAAAGACGTTGCCGGACTACATGAGCCTGTGGTACTCGGACGTTCTACATGTACCTAAAGGTGAGGTCCTTGTAAAACTATCTCAACATGAACCTGAGGTACTATAAAACCTAGTTGTACATGTTCCTGAGGTGAGGTACTCACATTAGGTACTTAGACACCTAGTTCCACATGAACCTGAGGTACTCGGACACCTAGTTCTACATGAACCTGTGGGTGAGGTACTCGGAGACCTGCTCGTAAATGACCAGCATGATAGCGCCTCCAGGACCAAGACGGAGGATTTTAGGAACTAATCCGCGGTACAGGGCTAGGAACCTGGAAAAATTAAGAGTTATAAAACGAATCACGATTTATTACAGCTTCGTTAATAAATAATATTTTTTAGTTCTAGTAATATTTTTTTACTCTTCTACTTAAAAAACTCTATCGATCGTTTATGAAGTGTTAATACACGTTATGATATAATATCAAAATGTTCAATGTTAATTTTTTGTTTCGTAAAACATATTATACGGAGCGGTAATGACAGGTTTGGGATATCTAGGGCATTTCCTTTCGCGATTAATGGGGCATTTTTTATCTCCAAACCTTTTAACTAAATTCTAATCAAGAAGTATCTTAAAAATTAACGGATGCTCCTGAAACTTTTCAGATCTTCTTTTATAAATCTGATTTGGACCAAACAGTTGGCTATGTAGTCCATGAACCTTTTTGCCATATCTGTCCTCTTGAATCTTACTGTGTTTGCCCTAATATATGAAATATTGAAAATCTGGAAAACGCGTCTGTTTATTGACTAAAAACATTTCAGTTGCAACTGACCTACCTATTGATGCTTACTTATTATTAAACCCTATTATTTTTTTGCTGATGTAACTAATTTATTTAATCTATTTAAATGTGTCATTTTTAACTAAATCTAAGTCGCAATATGTTGGTCATGAACTCAAGAGGCTCTCGATAAACCTTATCGTACATAATTAAGCTGGTATAACTTATACGAGCACTTATACTGCCGGTTCAAATTTGAACCACCAACTCAAAGTTAAAGATTAAAGAAGGATTTAAATTGGTGAATAAATTTGAAACCGGCAGTTTAAATCCATTAAAATCGGTCCCTGGCCTAAATTTCAGAAGTAGTAAATAATTCTCTCCTGT